AACTGGTATACAGGAAATCAGTAGAGTGTGATGGATATTATGCCAGTATTGCTAGCTGCTACACATCAAATGGGCAGCTGCAGGTTGGAGTAATGATCTATATTGAGTCCAGACACTGAGCATGGATTTCCCTTTGTGCCAAATTATACCCATACCCACTATGCACAAGCTTGTGCGACATCACCCTTTGTCATGCTAATAACCAATGATACTGATGGCATAAATATCACTCATTCAGAGGTCCTTTATATAGTCAATACATCTTGCTGGCTTGCAAATTTTCTAACCCCTGCTATGAAAGCTAAATGTATATTTATCCTCAGAGTGTTCCCAGCAATATGGCTTCCAATGAACCTGTCTGGAGAGTGGAGGAGTCCATGGGACATGGAGATGAAGAGTCTTCTGAATGGGATCCTATACTGGACAAGGCACGCAATTAGCCTCATCATCGCTGGAATTATTGTCCTGGTGGCCACCACAGCTATCACAGCAACTGCTGCTGCTTCACTCACTCAGAGTAAACAATTTTTCTATTGCCATGGCAGAAGCCTTTGCCATTCAAAATGACTTAAATAAGCTGTCCAAAATCACTATTTTAGTCATTCAGCAAGAACTAGACTTTTGCCAGGAATAGCAACTTGAATAGCAACTCTGCAGCCACGCTCTCCTCTACCCTGTTCTGTGGGCCTCCTCACTGGATGTGAGAGAGCACACACATACCATCTTCAATGTACTTTTAAAATTCTCTGTTACACTTGATGCTGTAGTTTTTTGCCTGATTTCTTTAGCTGCTGTGCTGGTATTTTTATATGTGGATAATTGTGACAATCAAGGATAATGAGCATTAGAGACTATTATTGTCTCATCACCTTGTTGCATTTATCCCCTCCCTTAGCTGTCAGTAGAGACATGTTTCTTCATGTTTTTCAAATTAGAATTCCATTATGTAGGGAATTCATTGATGTGTATATAAGGGAAAAGGTCTCTAGGAGCTTCTGAGTAGTTGAAAACACATAAATTTTTGAAATTATTATGATGAGCTATGGTGATGAAGTTCATATTCTTATCATTGACTCTTAATGTTCCTGTTAATTTATTAAACAGACATGAATAGTCATTTTGCCCTTTAAATTTAGTGAGAAATAGAAAGTAATGTGACTATTTTCAATACATTCTAATGTTTGCAGTTAGTAGGTCAATTTCAATAATTTATTAAAAGTTCTTTCAAAATTTTTTTTCTATATTTTCATCAACTTATTTTCAGAGAAGTTATAGAAAAAGCCAACCGTATTTGTACTGAGACTCATTTAACTCTAGATTAGTCTGCTTTAAAAGGAAAATAAAAAGGAAATCACTGTTATGTGTGCAATTTGGCCTCAGGAAAATACGTATATAAATACTTATTTTTTTAGTGTAGAAATAATGATTTTTAACTTATTTCTTTTCCTATGTGAGTTTATATATTTACATATATATACTTCAATTTTTATGCTATGGATCATGTAGATATTAATTTATCTAATTCTTAGAAAAATATCATATGCTATCATAATTACTGGACTAGTTGGAAAATGTGAATGTTTTTTTTGTATATTTTAACTGAAAAACAAAATCAGAATTACTAGAAAAATTTTTCCCTATGTCAGGAAATAGTGTATATATTTAGCACAGTCTAATAAAATTTTCTGCCATAACAGAAATTGTATATATGGTATTTAATTGTATATATGGTATTTAAATTGTATATATGGTATTTTTTAGGAGAATTTGAGTTTGTTTATCATTTAAAGATGAATTTAAGAAATAAAAAGAAATTAGTTTTCCATTTTATTTCATTTTAACTTATTCAAATTGAAATCACCCACATAGCCATTAGGGAGGAATATGCTACTATATTGGACAGTCATATATAATAATTACATAACATGTAGCATACTGCTTTATTTCAAGTAACCTCTTCCCTACATAATGGAATTCTAACTTGAAAAACATGAAAACTACTAGTGTCTCTACTGACATAAAATTAATATTACTTCTACATAATCTTTAAGTTTCCATTATCAAACTTGCTATAATGTAGGCAGTTTTAGAATATAGTCAAAATTAGTTTGTTAGATTATTTATTTTTGCCCTTTTTAATAAATACTATTTTTTGTTAAATTATGTTGTTACTGATTGAAGTTATACTCTTAAAAGTGACTCAGCTACTAAATAATTAAATGCAAAAAAATCACACTATATGCCATTAAAGGTGCTAAAGTTACCAATAGATCAGGCATTTAATTGTCTAAAAATTGTAAATACAAAAATTTCTGAAAATTCCCTAGCATAGCATCCAAACTAATTGTTTGAATTTGACTTGTGACCTGAACTGTAACTTATATTTAGCCAAATTTGACAAAGTATACTTATTTGGTTTTTTGTTCATTTTTTTTCTATTTTTTTTGTTCTTTCTAATTTCTTTTCCTGCATTTTATAATTTCTTAGTTTCTTTTAGTTTGAACTGAACTTTTTGTTCTGATAAAATCTATTGCTTTTTAAACTTAACACTTGTGTAATCAATTATTTTTGCTATAAAATTAAGCACATATTAACATATTTCTCATTGGAATTTACCTGAAGTGAACACACCAACATATAAAGCCAATACCAAAAGGAACTGATGAAAACAAAACCTAGAACTTAGAAATATTATTTTTTCTAGTTATATAAGTACTTATTTTTATTGTAGAAATAATGGATTGAATGTTTTCTTTATTTTCATTTTCCTATGTAAATTTATAAATTTATGTACAAATACTTCATTTGAATGCTATGAATCATATAGATATTAGTCTTAAGCCTCATGTCATAGATTTATGTTTATTACATTTTCCAATAGTTTTCTTCTAAACCATGTTTTTATCAGAATTCTTCACCAGATTAATAAATTAAAAGAAAGAGTAATTTTCACACTTATATAATGGCAAAAATCTTTAGGCATATTATATTCTTGTGCTTTTTAATTGCTACTAGGTTATTTTGAAGTAATATATCTCCCCCGAAGTTTTACATGTATTGAAACCCTTACTAACGGTGAGTAAATTAAAACAAAACATATATCAAGTGTATTATTTACAGATGAGACATTATGGGTGAGTTGAGTATTTTTGTGATTGATTTCTTAACTATCTTTTAAATATGGTTAAATATTGTTTACATAATTTTGTAAACAATATGCATAATGTGTAAACAAAAATGCACAATTATGAATTTTTCTAATGTGAAATTACGTAGATACTAGTTCAGACTTATTTAAACATAAATATGTTTATGATAAACTACTTTTTATTTAAGTGTGAATTTTTCATTTTGGTTATTATAGTAATTTCTTCATTTATTTAAAATGCAATATAGGCAGTTACCAGACTACCACACTGTAGCTTAAAAATTATGTTATCTCAAGTGATGTGAAATTTTATTAAACAATTATACATGAGTACTTTTTAAATCATTTTATTGCATCATAGTGGCACTTAGCTTTAATTACAGAATTTCTACTAAAGTGACCAGGCACAAATCATTTTGTTCTTGCATCATTTGTAAAAGAACTTGAAATATCTATTTCTTTTATTTTCTGATCTTTTAATCCTGAAAAAAAGAAAAAAGAATAATTTACAAGTATATCTACAAAATGTTGCCAAAATTTAGTGCAATTTAAGTCAAGATCTATCATCTCCAAAATTTCTTTTACAGCTCACTATGATTAGATATAAAATGCCCTTGCTTCAGGACATTAATTTTTATGACTTAATAATACAATCACAATTAGCTATTTTTCATCAAATACTTAGCTCATACCAGTTTAGGAGATAATTATTTTTAATAGACAATCCTATAAAGTTATTTTTTATATTCTAATTTTACATTTGCAGACAATGCTTAAACTACCTATTCAATTCATTTAAAATAAATACTAATTTTGACTAAATGTAAAAATAGTATAAGGTTCATGGCCTTAATTATTAGAAAATACATATAAATGCTTTATCTATCTAAAGAGTGAAAGTATATCTGTAATTAGAACAATTAACTATAAGGAATATATATCTGGGATTCAAACAATTTTCAAAACTTGTGTTTTAAATTCCTTATGATATAATCACAATTGAAAATTCCCATATGAATATATTTTTTTTGATTGAGAAACTATCAAAATAGAGCCTTGATCTGTTGCAGTTACTTTCCCCCATCTTAAAATATAAAATCATATACTCATAAATTTGACATAATTTATATAATACCATTGTCTTTTGGGGAGGCAAAATCAAAACTAGAATCCAGATTATTTTGATACTTCATGCATGTTATTTTAATCTTTTTACTTCTCAGTAACAAATCATTAATAGAATTTATAAGTTGCAAAATTATGTGCTCATATAGATAAAAATGTGAGGATTTCTAAGAAACAAAGATTATCTATTGACTGTTTCCTACTAATTTAGAAAAAAAATCTCTAATGGAAATAGCTTTTGTTATGAATTGTGAAAAATTATTCTCAAAAGATTAATCTGATAAATCTAAGCAATGAGAATGAATTTAGAAGCTGGTTTAGCTTCCTTCATGCTAAAAAACTTTAGACAGGCATTACTACTTTAAAATGACTTTCCATCTACCTTTCTTAGACTCTCCAAACGTAAGCATGTCCATCCTCTCAAAATCACACTTTTTAATTTTTTTCAGTATGAGTTTGTCTTGTTCCTTCCAAATCATTGAAATTTAAGAGAATTAATTTATCTTATACTTTTATTTCTAAAGTGAATAAATTTCTTTAATTTTTTATAGATGGAACTCAAAGTAGTTGTAAGTTTTAAATCCAGCATAAATATGTGATATGTAAAAATAAACTCATTTATTTAATAAAAATTTAATTCATGAACTAATGGAATCACAAACTGTAAGGAACCAAAAACATCCAGTTTCCCAGGATTTGTCTCTTAGCGGCTTCAGTGTATACTCACCACTTCTTCCCGCTTGGTCTTGTCTGTTGCTGGCCAAGCTTCCAGAGGCAAATCAGGAAGAAGGGGGGGCAGCTGCATGGGGAACATCGGAGGCAGATGTGGCTGTGGTGGCAGGGGATGCAGGGAGTGCAGAGGTGGTTGGGGCTGGACGGGCTGCATGGGCTGCATGGGCTGCATGGGCTGCATGGGCTGCATGGGCTGGTGAGACTGTGGCTGAATGGACTGGGGCTGGAAGGGCTGCTGGAAGGGCTGCTGGGCAGGTGGAGGGAGGTTTGGCTGGTGGTGTTGGTTTGGAGTCATGGAGTGGTGGCCAGGAACGGGCATCATTGGCTGCTGGGGGGCCACGGGCTGTTGAGCTGGCACCACTGGGATGTGGTGATGAGGCTGAAGGGTGTGACTCGGGGTATGCTGTTGAGACAGCACAGGGATGATTTGGTGGTGCAGCAATCCACCCATAGGTTCGTAACCATAGGAAGGATACTGGTGAGAAACAGAGAGTCAGGTTTACCATCGGCTCGGTTGACTTCCAACTGGAGAAGTAGCAATGATTTCTTTGTCATTATGACCATATGAATATTTTAGTCATTTTTTCCTTTGCAAGAATTTTTGTGTATATAGATAGAATCTTTTATAAATTAAAATTACAGTAAGTGTTTATATGTGGAGTAGACATGATATTTTGCTTAATAAGGGAATTTAAGTGCATATCTAAATATTTTATGGGATTAAAGAACAGAATGTCTACCTACCGGCTGCCTTATCATGCTCTGGGACCACCTCAAAGGAGTAAGCACCTTAAAACAAATGAACATTTTAATGCTTTTAATATAATTGTTTTATCCAATATATACACTCACTAATAAAGATGAAATATAGACTAACTAATGAAATCTTGAAAACATTAGTCTGATAATATGATTTTAACAAAAGAAAGAAGGTAAACTACATTCACCAGATGCTTCCTGTTTAATGGGTACTGTGTTACACCCATCACATATGCTTTTCATGTTTTTTCACTTGATCTGAGGGGAGTATCATCACCTCACTTTTATAAACAAGGTAATTAAGACTAAAAGAGTACATTAACCTCACTGGGCTTATCAAAATAGTAATTATGTTTACTTCCAGAGGGCATGCTCATTATTCTGTACCAAAAAATTTAATCTAATTTTACTTTAATATTTTTGATATTCTTTGATTTCATAAGAAGAGAAGCTAAACTCATTATATAAATGAGGGGGTTTTGGTCATATTTATCAGATTTTTAAGGTTAACAGAAAATTTTGTCTCAAATTCTAACGTTTTTTTTTCAACTTGTATGAGAAAACAGACTCAGAGATTGTTACCTGAACCTGTGAAGAAGCAAACATTTCAGGTCTTTATGAGCAATACATATTTATTTAGATTTGAAATCAGACTTTCTTGATATAGTAGTATATAATATTAATATATTATATATAATACAATTAGAAATTATTAACCTTGCTTAAGTTATATGTGACACAGCATTTGTTATATTCATTAATAATTTTTCTCCCCAAATTATAGTTTGGTTATCATTATTTCACATCTTTAGATAAGGAAATCATAGTGCCAGGTAGAGAAAATAATTTACCCAATGTTATGCGGTCAGTATGGGATTGAATAGAACCTCAAACATGACTTTCATAATTCATAATCTTCTATCTCTCTGCAGTTTTCATATAGCACTGAGTCACTAATCTTTCAATGAAACAATAAGAGATATGCACATGGTATGAATATCTTATAAATTTCGGAAAACAACCTTAAGTAACATTTTAACCTAATCCTCACATTTTATGGCCTGGGATAAAATTATACTGTTCCAGCTGAGTTCATCTTTTGCCCTACTACATATAGTTCATAATGGGTACATTGATAGCCATATTTAAGAAGACAGAAGCAGTCAAAGTGGGCACATAATAAGTTGCTTGAGGCCTTCTTTGGGGGTTTAAACCAGAAAACTTGGTGGGAACAGAAAAGTAGGAATATTTAAGAAATAGGTTGAATTAAAAATCAATACACTGTTCTTTGCAGAGGTCAGGGCATTGTTAAATCAAACAATGTTATAGTAAATGCTGTGGTAAATGGAAAAATTACCTCATAGCTGAAGTTGATATAACCAGGGTGCCCAGGATGAGGTGGTAGCTTTTTTTATAAGGAGGAAAAACAGAATGGAAAGAGAATGATTGGAAGGCAAAAGGAGAGGGAGAGAGAAAGAGAAAGGAACAGGTTACGTCAATATTCAATTGTTCACATTAAGGGAAATTGAAGCTATTTTTCAAAAAATATCTACACAGTAAAAGATATATTTGAGGTATATATGTACACACACATATTAGTTCGAATATGTATGTTGTTTAGGAGGAGACATTATTATTAATAATATTATTACTTTTGATACTGGGGATTGAACTCAGGGGCACTGGACCACTGAGCCACATTCATAGGCCTATTTTGTATTTTATTCAGAGTCAGGGTTCCTGAGTTGCTTGCTGCCTTGCCATTGCTGAGGCTGGCACTCATAATCCTCCTGTCTCAGCCTCCCAAGCCACTGGGATTACAGGCATTTGCCACCACACCCAGCTGGAGTAAACTTATTTCAGAGAGGTTCAAAACAGGTAAATGATTTTTCCCTGATATAATAGTTTTACAGAAGGAGACATAGAGGCATCAACCAGCATAAATTTATTTTTCCAGTGGTACTGAGACAAGAACATCTACCCCATGATGTCAAGTAATCCTATAATATACTACCAATCAATTTAGTATTTCAAACTCACACCATGATGGGAAGAGAGAAGTATGTTTCTGTTAAGCAATTTAAAAATACCAAAAAAGGAAAGAATATAAAAGATACCTTGCAGACCACGTGCTTAAAATTTTAAGTACATTCATATTTGGAATGCAAACTAAGTAACACATCAACTGTAACAAAAAGTACAACTAGGTGGAAATTACTGATTAAGGTGAAAATAAGATGAATACAGTAAAATGGTGCAATAAACACCTCCCATGTAAAATGGAAAGTTTTATGTATGAAACTTAGGCCTTTTCTTTTTTATTTTCTGTTAGTATATTTAAGGCACAAAGTTTAAAGCTCAAAATAAAAAGCAATCTGAATAATCATGTATGCCATAACTATCTGTCCTTTCCAAAGAGGGGAAAAAGTGACTGATACCTGCCTTGAATTCTGGATAGCCCTAATGTGGAGGTGAGAGAAGAAAGCCCCATGCAGAAAATGTCCTTCTGATAGGGCACTAATTAAGAATCTGCTCTATTCTTTTCTTTCAAAAAGCTGATATTTTATGAGAAGTTTTAGTAACTTTCATTTTCATTGTGAATTGTTTTACTGAGGTAACTGTCTCTCCTACACTATCTTCATATTAAGCCTTCTGAGTATTGAATGTGGAATGGAAAAAAGGGGATCCTATAGGAAACTAGAAGTTGCCACATTGCAGGGTCAGGAAGGCCGGTCATAGCATCTTGATCTCTTGAGAGAGGAAAAGAGGATGCAGGTATACAAGTTTACTGGTTTCTGGTTGTATCAACTGCTCTTCATGCCATCAAAAATAAAATGGATTTTGCTTTTCTGCGTGTGAGGTAAACTCTTTTTCTATAAGTATCTGAGTTTCAAAAGAATAGTTGGTATTTGATATATGTGAATGTAATGTAATATACACACAAGCAGGATACCAGAAAATAATAATACCAAAAAACAAAAACAAAAACAAAACAAAAACCTAAACCCCCTATGATTAGGTAATATACTTTTTTATAGGAACTATAAAAACAGATATGTTCCAAGAAGTGAATTCCTAATATAAAAATATTATCCTTGTAATTTATAAACTGATTGTCTCAACATAATTACTTGGGGGTGTTTGTTAAATGTAGATTCCTACATTCATATGTCCCAGATTTACTGAATCATCATTGTTGGGAGCATATAACAATCTATTTAACTTTGAATTGATAAGTAGTAATTACATAGATTTATGGAGTACAAGGTGATATTTTGATAGATGTTTACAATGCAGAATTATTAGGTTAATTAAGAGAATACTGTGAGGCCATTACATGAATAAAATCTTATCACTTGCAATAACAGATAGACTTGGAGAGCATTATGTTAAGAGAAATAAAATGTACACATAATCTATTATTTTATTTATCTCATTAAGGTTTTCTACATTGATCTTAAACTCTTTTAAAACATAACATTTACCATTTATGGGACAGATTTTTAATCCAAAATTTATGATTTCGTTGATATATGAAAGTGGTATTACTCACAGGCATAGTGAAGGCTGTTCCAAACAGGAAGGCAAACAAAATCCAGGTCCCCATTTCTTGATGGTTCTGAAATGTGAGTCAAAACCCACTTCTTACCTCTTCTCAAAATGGATATAATGCTCAATAAAACACAGATAATCTCTTTCTATGTATGTATGTATGGCCCAGGGAATTAAACCCAGGGCCATTTGATAGCTATGTTCTTAAACCTTTAAATAAAAAAGTAAATAAACAAATATAATTTTAAGAAAGGATCTATGTGGCCTAAGTTAGCCTTTGATGGCAGTTGACCTGCCTCAGCTTCCTGAATCTCTGGTATTACAAATATGTACCAGCATTCCTGGCCAAAATATATATGATCAGTATTAGTCTGTTGCTATTAAAATAATGGAAACATTATTTTTGAAGTGACTTCATTCAAAATATTTATCCATTACTGCATAGTACTTTGTGATTTTTAGATTAAAGAACCAAAGGACATTTTCTTATTAATAATATTGAAAACAAAGGTTAATTTCTTGAGAAGAAATCATGAACTTGCCAAAATGAATCAAGAAGTAAAGTGTGACAGGGATTTAGTTTTGTATATTGCAAACTAGTTTGACTTCAGTTATTACTTTTGAATAATAATATGAGCTTAAACAGTCTACATTGCAAAACATGAAATTGAATGCAAAGGAAAGAACAATACTAATATTCTGTGGTTTTTTAATCAATAAATTTTAAATAATTTTTCCTGAAAGAAGCCATCTTTATTCCTTTATTCTTTTGTTAAATATATTTAATTACTTCAAAAATTATATAATTGGTATAAAAAGAAAAATGTGGCCATGTTCTAGTCACAACACTTTGTGACAAATATTTTATTTTATTTTATCTTTTTAATATTTTCATAGATTTTGATATGCATTGTAGTAACAAATATTTTAATAATTAAAATTTAACTAAAAAGGTTTTATCATGAAAATTATATGAATATTGTTAATATGAGGACTAAACTCACATTTTTTTCTATTCTAAAATTTTTTTATGGTTGAATTTTTGAAAAGAACAAAATATCTAGGGGATGGATCTAGTATTAAGTACACTAGTATTTTCTAGAATTAAAAAAAAATGATTTTCAAAGCCACAAATTCCCATGTAAAGGTTTTGTTTATCTCAGTTGATGAATAATGAATATGTCCTGTGAGTATATATTTCAAAAAGCCTGTTTGAATTCTAGATGGTATTTATTTAAAAATACGAATTCGTTAAACACTAATATTTTAAGAAATAAACATCTTATTTATGGTGAAGCTAAAGAAGTAATAATTGTTGACAGTAAATATTGTTAGAAAAGTGAACTAAATTTCTATCTTTAAAAAATAATGAAACACAAACAAACAAGTACAATGCAAAGGATGAAAAATTACAAAAAAAAGAAAAGAAAAAGAAATGCACATACCTTTGAATGTATTTAGAATAACTGTTTGACATCCAAGGGATTGAATCCTTTACATTTATTTCATGTATGTGCTCAATTTATATCATTCACAACCTCTACAATAACCAATCATGATTTCTGAAAAATAAATTGCTAGAGTATGACTAAAATATTCTGTATCATGAATTTTTAGCAAGAATGATTATATTTCAGATTGTACATTATGATTAGTTCATATAGTCTTTCATTATACATAATAATATGTTCAACAAGCTAAAGTATCTTCATTGCACTATAGTTAAGTCAGCAAATTAGTTGATTACACATGCAGATACATTCAAACATACTTTTAAGAAGCTGCTACATCAATGCTTCTGTGTATTAAAATGTTTGAATAACTGTGGCTCGTGTTTTTACTTTGCTTGAAGATGTTTTTTGTTTGCTATGGACACTTTTTTTATCAGCACTTTGGTGTCTAATGTAGGTAATAAATGACAATTCTTGACCCCATCTGCTCAAGTAACCATGAGCTCAAGATTATCACAGTACAAAAACTTTTACTAGTGATTTCAACATCAAGGCAAGGGACTTTATTTCAAACCCACTATCCATAAGAATGTATTTTATTATTTACAAACATCTACATCATAACTCCAACCTTTTCATAGTAAGTTGCTTTTCATCCATGCACTTGTAACTCAATATTACTTTCTTTCATTCAAGAACCAAATTACTCATTTCTTTTCTTTCAAAAAACTTTTTGTATCTAGTTCTATTGTCTTCATATTAGAAACTCCCTCATTTTACTAAAGAAACAATCACAAAATTCTAAGAAAATTATAAATCATACTTTATTTTTAAGGTACCTTTCTAGAGCTCATGAACTTACTTATATTTTGCTGTATTTTATTTATTAAAATATTAGCTGGTGAGTTGTCTATCAATATTGCCAATAAATGAAAAGCTAAAAATACATCCAGATAAAATTAGTATTACTACAGGATTCTAAATTTTTAACTAAGAAACTGTTTAAGTGCATTTGTAATTATACAAAAGGCTCACATTTGATGATTGAAGAAAAAATGCTTATGAAAACCAATGTATTAAGAATAAAGAGGTCTAGATTTATGTGTTTCCTAATTCCATTTTTCTTCATAGTTTAAGGATCACTGAAAATTTTCTTAGTCTTAGCCATTGTTTTCTCATCTGTAAAAAGAAGACAATAATAGACATGTAGACAGATTAGCATAAAAAGTACACGAGGAACATTTTCCATAAGTAGTTCTTTTTTCTACTCTTCCTACTATAATCATATGGTAAATATTACTGTGAATGTTTAAAGAATATAAAAAATTTCTAAGATTATTTAAAAAGTATACTAGTGATAAATTTCATATTTATACCAATGATTTCCAATATTATATGCAACTTTAAAGCTAAAATATAAAAATAAACCCCAAATTTAAGCGAGTAAATTTTCCCTATGAAGTAAAGTAAATCTCTCAAGTTAAAGATTACAAAAAGAAATTGGACAGTTATAAAGGATAAAATGAAGAGATTAAAATTTAAACATTATTTTAATGACAAATTTATCCCCAATTTTATATATATTTATAAATATGTTGCTGATGAATTTCATAGTTAAGGAAAATTCTATTTAAAGGAAATTGAATAAAAGATTTTTAGCAGAAGCTACTCTTTTTGAGGAGGATCATTTCACATGAAAGTGAATATGATCAACAGAATGCTTAATAGGTGGCAAGTTAATTATAATTCATAATATATGCTTGTATAATGTTTGATAAATATTACTGAGGAAAATGTGGTTCTTTTTTTTCAGTTTTCCCTGCATACATATCTTAGTTGAGTCTTTTTTTTTTTTAGACCCTCCATCTGCTTTAATCTATTTGCCTTTCTTTTCTTCTTTTTTTATTGGTTGTTCAAAACATTACAAAGCTCTTGACATATCATATTTCATACATTAGATTCAAGTGGGTTATGAACTCCCATTTTTACTCCAAATACAGATTGCAGAATCA